TCTCCTAGGTCACAGCTTCAACGGTGCGTGCCAACAGTTGAAGTGAACTTTGCGCATCCCAAGACGTGGGATCAACTTTCACACGGAATGTGAATCAGAGTCATCGGAATGTCTGTCACTTTCCCTGGAGACCTTCTCAATGATGTCAACTGCTATTTACAGAACCTATTCTGTCTTGCCTGCAATACCCATCTTAACATTTCTGCGTGTACGTAATTTATAAGGTAGAAGACTAATAAGTGAGTCACCTCTTTCAGTAGTTGACAAAGTACACAATGTCGTAGGATTTATTAATATTAGTTTGTATTTTTGTAACATGTTCAAATCACTTGTTTTCATTCATTTGACTCAGTCCATTCTCTTCTTCCCTAACCAAGTACCACCTAACCTTGTAGATCAATAAGTAGACGCAGTTTAGAAACGATGAATAAATAAATTCAACCCTTTATCGTAATCGTTAAACCAAACAAAAAGCCAAACAATTTACGTAAAATATAAGAGACATGTACGCAAACCACTCACTATTAACGCATCCACACAAGTAAATATGAAAATTTGTGGAGACTTGAAGGGGTGCCTTGGAACTTGATACGTGCCGTTCCGAATGGGGCGAACGTTTTTCACCGGGTTGTGCTATCCAGCGCTGGGAAATGTCTAGGGGGCCCGGGCTTCAAGAAACGTTGCGCGTGCAGGAGCCGTACCCTACCCGTTCGAGCACCCCCCCCCCTCACTCACTCAGATGGGAAGTTACTTGTAGCGAAGTTCGCATAAATATCCCCTTTCAAGTCTCAACGAGGTCCATTCATATCTGAGATATGTTATGGAATGATTGTGTTGATAGATGCATTCTCTCTGAAAATAGTAGACCTGATTGGTGATTTAATGTGTTTCTTTTCACTCGTATTTCAGCTGTTTTAAACATAATATTACATTGAAGTTGACTACATAGCAATTTGAATGTTTTTACAATTCGTACTGCAGTCTTTCAAGAATAGTTTAATCTTTCGGTTTCTAACATTCGTTTCATAATGTGAATTAATATTACATAGGGTGAATGAGAATTGTATATAAGTAGATTTACTTCATATTATTTTAGTCCGTTAAACAATCCCACTCGACTGTTTTTAATTTTATTTAATAGGTAATTATTGCCCTATAAATTACATAACCTAGTGCTGTTTGTCTAGGCCGAATGCCTTTAATCCATTGCGGTACCTACATCATAAAGCATTCTAAACTTCCGAATTCTGGTATTTCCATTTGGTTTCTCCATTTGAAGAAAGCCGTGAAAAAGAGAGTACTTAACACGGCCAAAAAATAAATCCCTGAAGTGGGAAAACGTGCTGTAAGAAGCCAAAGTGCAAGCTAATCTACCAAACTCATTTTAAACTTTTTTTTTCTCTTTTGATTCCCTGGTGCGGACGTCACGTATTCGCCTTCCAGTCTTTGGCTCCTCAGCACCTGAAATCAAACAGCGACTCAGACGATCGCCCGCACCATCGCCTCTGGGCTTTCTTCTCGGACATCCACTTGTTCCATAATGTGTTCAATTAATTATTTGATTGTTTACTTATTTGATTATTGATTGATACTTTTTTTACTTGTTGCTTAATAACGTGTTTGCTTATAAACTTACAAACGTCATTACTGACTAACTGTATATGCTCCGCTCATACCACTAACCAGTGATATTTTCCCACTTCTTAATTAACGTTTCCCTAACAGTTCGATCATTTTCTAGAAAGTTTCCTAATTATTTCGTGAAGTAGGACCTATTATCATGTAATATGTTCGTGGAAAATTTTGCACCAACATATGTACGTTTTGACACAGTACAACTCATCCTGTGCTATATACTTTTTTTGTTGTTGTTGTTATTTAAAGTCGCATCAACATCGAGGCCATTAGCGATCACTGTTGCATTTTAATGGTATGGTAACTGTGAAGATGACATTATATGGTGATGAAAGGGGAGGGTGATAGGACGAACACAAATACAACCATGCTCAAGGCGGGACTTAAACCCGCGATCCTTTGGTTCGAGATCACGACGGCATTACTGCATTAACGATCTCGACCATCCGGCCCGGCCCATTTCTCTTTCTGTCGGCCCAAATAAACCGCTTTTGTTACCCCAAAATAACCCGCTTTTGAAGAAAACAATTTCCTTTTTTCTTATTATTTACTTTTAGTCTGGGTCCGGGTCCAGACGTACATGGAAGGAAGGAGTGGAGAAGGCGATGGCTAGAAGAGGATTAACTGCCGAAGTTTACAGAGGCAAACTTAAATGGAATCTGCGATGCGAGAGAAGACTAATAGTGTTAACTACTACTACTTTTAGTCCCCTAGTCTTACTATACCTTTCGAAGATGTTTTAACTACTCTGCAAGTCCTCAGTAGTTTTCGAAGAGAGAACTAATAATCTGAGGGAATTTTGAAATCATGAACGTCCGGCGCAGATGTGTACGCGTTTTGCACCCGTGTCATTAAACCGCTTATAAACAAAATAAGTAAGCGGTGAAATTAAATGCGAAATGGATTTTAAATAAAACTGTTTTTCTGGAATTTATAACTCGCTTCTAATTTTACAAATCTTCACTTCTCAATTAAATCATAATTTTATCCTCAACTCTTCAACATATCTCTAGCTTTAGTAAACACATTTTCATTTTCTATTCATTCGCGAATTTAATTTCGTTCCTTCTTTTTTAAATTTACTTGCGGAATCAGACATCCCCAGATTGTACGTGTCAATTGTTGCGTTTGGTTGGAAGGCAGCCAACGTGTAGACTGCGTTTCGTATTCTCGCATCGAGACCGGGGTCCCTGTCCTCCCCCTTCCCCCACTCGTCTCTCCCCCCCCCCCTTTCGGGCGAAGAGGCGCTTGTCCGCGGATGAAGGGCTGTTGTTTGTGACGCTGCATATTTTTATTGGGCTAAAATTAATAAAATCGTTATTGGTTCCACACAGAGCATTGCTGTTGTGATTGCGCTCGTGGGAGTGGCCCTGCGTTCTTTTTTGTCGAATTGTATGATTCTTTCTGTTTATGTTCGTGTTTTTTTCTTTTTAGAAAGATTTCTGCATTGCAGTTTTTTTAATCGAGTTAATATAAAATGCGGAGTGTTGAACGTAAGTTTGAATTCTCTATTTGTATAAAAAGTTGGTGTTATTATTAGCGGCATTCTGCGCATACACAACTGACAATGAGAAAAGCATTCGAAAGGTTCATAAGTGTTTGATAAATTCAATGATTTTTTGTGCATTTGCTAGCTACCAGTGTTAGGAAATAGAATACAAAGAAGAAAAAATCTTAAAATATGTGGGAACATTCTTCATAACTGCAAGTAGTACTCCACATGTTTAATAATCATTATTTCGAAAGTTTTTGAAATACAAAAAAAAGGTACTGAAAAATTTGCAGTTTGAAATATGAAAATGGTAATGAGACCTTTTCTTTGAAATGTTGATTATGGAATTGATGATATTAGAGGAATTCAAATTGAAAATTTCCAGTAAGCACTCAATAAACTTATTGATTTCAGGTGTATATCAGTTATAAAAAATGTAGAATCTGATTGGAAGTTGCAATTTAATAAGTTAACTCTTTCACATGGCACCATCAGAAAGTTAGCATGAGTTTCAAAAAAACTTTATAACTAAAAAGAAAATACTTCCAAAACGCCGCTAACTTAATATAATCAAAATGTTTATATTATTGGAAAACCAACTTAAATAGTGTGTCAACTAAATGTGTTTTAGGAACACAACAAGCAAGCTATTTGCAAGTTGATTCATAACAGTGCTAGTCAAGAAAGAAGGAATAGTACGAAAGCGTTTGCGCCCACGTCTTCTGTTGCAACTTGCTTCCTCGTTTCCCGCTCACGCTGCACTCGAGCGAGGGACCGCCAAAGCAGATACGGCAGCTCGACGTAGTCCAGACGCTCGCCGCTTGGAGCAGCACCTGTCGGGGCGCTCAATGGCTGCAGTCGCGCTCGCGATTAAATGACTTGAATGAAAATTGTTATCTTTAATATTTTAATTATAGGAAGACTCTGAAAAAAGTTTGAACCTTTGTAATATTCGTAAAATTAGTGTCAACTAACATGAAACCTACACCATTCTCTGAAACGTCATTTACACTATCCGACAACAAAATTTAATCAAAATTGATAGCGCCATTTGTTTGAAAATTTTGAAACTGACCCAGGTGCTTCATGTAAAGCACCCCCAAAAATTAAAATATTGGTTTCAAATTCCAGAGGTCGCGACATCAGCCAGATGAATCGGGGAATATCAATTTTGGAGAAAATCGGCTGAACGGTGTAGCCGCTAGCGTTGTTCATTGACAGATTGATTCATTTAGCCTTCTCGGGTATTTGACACATTAATTTATATACAATGTTTACATCAGTAGGTATTTACAAACTTAGTTAACTATTTACAAATTTAGGTCTATGCAGGCAGATATCAGACAGACACCAGACAGACAGACGGACAGATGGACAGGCCGACGGAGAGACAGCCACATTTTGTCGTCATTCGACTTTTCTGTATCAAGGACTCACAAAACATAGATTCAGACTATACTGCATGTTAAAGGATTGTTTTTCTAAATTTAGCAACGAATTATCCCTTTTTCGTTGCCAGGGCCCTATAATAAGAGTTGTTAGAAGATAATTCCACGTTTTTTTTGTTCACGCAGCATTACATAACTTTCTCCCTACTTCGTAGCGAGAAAGTAAAATCGCTTCTCCAACAGGGAAGCCTGGCTGATTTCAGAGCGTAGGCTTCCGCGGCCGGAGTCAGTATTTCCTCGGCTGTCCGGGTGACGCCGCGTCCTATAATAAGCATTACGCCCTGAGGAAGGTCGCAGAATGGCGACCGAAACGTCGGCACCTTCGCCATGGACGCGGCGTCACCCGGACAGCCTAGTAAATAATGGCTGAGTTGCTTTTCCCCGATGACCGCCTGACGATGGGTTGCGCTCGCTTGTGTTCGCAGCACTCCGGCGTACGACTACGCGCCCAACCCGGACAAGCAGTGGATCCTGCAGGTGACGCAGCGCATGCAGCCCATCCACCGTCAGTTCACCGACTTGCTCATGACGAAGCGCCTGCAGACGCTGCAGAGCGTCGACCAGGCCGTGCACCGGGTGAGTGCTGCCCTCGCACTTCGCAATTCCCACTTCATGCCTAGCTATTCCCACTTAGCTATTCACACTTAGCTACTCCCACCTAGCTACTCCCACCTAGCTATTCCCACCTAGCTATTCCCACTTAGCTTTTCACACTTAGCTATTCTCACTTAGCTATTCCCACTTAGCTATTCCCACTTAGCTATTCCCACTTAGCTATTCCCACTTAGCTATTCCCACTTATCTATTCCCATTTAGCTATTCTCGCCGAGTTATTTCCACTTAGCTGTTCCCACTTAGCTATTCACACGTAGCTCTTCACAGTTAGCTACTCACCCTAAGCAATTCGTGTTTAGCTACTCGAACTTCGCTATTCCCACATAGCTATTCCCTCTTAGCTACTCCCACTTAGCTATTCCCACTTAGCTATTCCCACTTAGCTATTCCCACTTAGCTATTCCCACTTAGCGATTCACCTTAGCGATTCACCCGTAGCTATTGTCGACTAGTTATCCCCACTTAGCTATTCACACTTTCACTAGCAAGTCCTGTTTAGCAATTCACATTTAGCATTCACACTTAGCGATTCATACTTTGCGATTCACGCTTTGCATTTCACACTTTGCAATTCACACTGTGCAATTCACACTTCGCAATTCACACTTCGCAATTCACACTTCGCAATTCACTCTTCGTAATTCACACTTTGTAATTCTTACTTTGCAATTCACGCTTCGCAATTCACAATTCTTTCTTCAAGATTTTTACGTAAATATTCTTACTTCTGCATAATTAACAATAATTTGTCACTCCTGCTCTTCCTCTCTCTCCAATTCTGCTGTTAATAGTTGTCAAGTCCGCAGTAAGCTGGCTCGTAAACCATTTCCATCTCGTTCATTCTCCTGACCGTGGTTATTATTCCTGATTACAAATCTACAGTAGTACAGTGTGAGTCTTTTCAACGTGGCCAGCTGCTGGAACAATTCCAAAGAAACAAAATCTGATTGCTCACGTACGGAAATGCGTGGGTTCCCTTTGAAGGAATGCATGGGAAGAATCTCATTTGTTATAAAAGGCATAGAAATTGAGATACAAAAACGATATTTCTATTTTTGTGGGCTTAAATATCTCAAAAACCATTAGTTGTAGAAAAAAATATTCAAGCCAATTTTCTGGGAAAGTTTTTTTCTCGTCAAATCTTTTAATAAGGTTATTCAACACACAATGCATAGAACTCGAGTTATTCGCGTAAAGCGATTTTTCGTGTGCATATACGTCTAATATTTGAGAACGCACACGTGATATCGATTCTAGCTTTTCACACTTTTTATTCGTTTAAAACAAAGGTCTTAGCAAAAATTCAACTTAAAGTTTTTTTCGCAGATAAGCGTTAATTTTACTGGACAATAAGGGAAATAGCCATATTAAAGGGGGGTATGCTATCGTGGAGAATATTAGAAATGGGCACATTTTCTGAACTTACAATTGTTAGATATTTTTGTTACTTATCCTTTAGTAGAATTTCCACTGAGCACACTGAAAAATATCATTGCATATCTGGCAAGAATACGTTCTCTTTGAGCATGGTTCCCTTCCTTTTGTTTTGCAACTAGACCACCTGATGTCATCCAGTTGAAGTGACCTCATATTTTTCTTTTTCTCTCATAATTTGTTCATGCTTTCGCTGAACTTGTGCGTGCTTTCTTGTACACGCCAGTTATTCCTTTATTAGTTTTTCTTGTGTTCAAGTGTTTTTTGTCAATCTATACTCGTTCATTCCAGAGACATTCCCTAAAATTTATACTTCTTTTGTTTGTGTATGTAATCCTTTTCCTTAGTTTACGATGATCTTTGTTTTTCCTTTTCCTCAGTAACATCTTTCCTTCCTTGAGGCCAATCATCTTTTGAATTATTTTCTTTTGCCACTTCTCTACTTCTCTTCTTTTTCTTTTTCCCCTTCTTCTCCAATGACAGATACTGTGAACTCTATTCTTCTTTTTGATTTAACAATGGCGATGTTGTCTGATCTTTGTTTTGCAGGAGATGGACATTTTGTTATTACTGCCCCGTATAAATACGTATTATAATTATTGCTTCCGTTGTGTAAACCGCACGTATTCAAAAAGGAACCATTTAATGTATTAACTTATATAATATGCATATCAACTGCACTTACGTAAAATTATAAATACTTCTACATTTATGTTACTCTTACAAAAATTACTAGATTTCGAGTTCTGGATTTGAATGAGCATAAATAGATTTGATACCTGTAATGTAATCCTCAAAAAGGATTTCAAATTAATGTCTTGTTATTTATCAAAATTGTAATTCAAATACGTACATTTAACTGGCCTATGCCCATCTTCGTACATTATTTAGCTATGCCAGCAGCCCTTGCCCGTTTGACCTTTCGTTGCCCGACCCGTATGAAAGTGAGAGACGTCACTCGCGGCTGTAGATTAATTTCCCTGCGTCTATTGACCGACTGATCGATCAAGTGACCTACAGAGTGCGCGACACTCCACAGGCCAGCAGCTGAAGAAATGGTTTGTGAGTCACGCCGGATAGCCCATTGCCGATTCATCAAAAGAGCCACTTCCACAGTTCGACTCGCTGATCGCGAACGAATCGAAAGGTTGTCGAGAGGTTGGATGAAGGTTTAATAATGTTGCAACCCTGTGCCGTGGACGCGTGTCAAACTCGCAGTTGTTTGTTGTTTCTCTCTACTTGGTGAAAACCCTACAGTCTGTAAAATCACTACAGAGTTTTCAATGATTTTTTCGTATTAATTCATCTAAAAAAGTCGTGACTGGGTTGCTGATCATGCAGAAAACTCTAAGAAAACCGAGTCTAGTGAAAGAAAACCAATCCATATCGAGAGAACATAGGAAAACAGTTTAGAATCGTTTCAAAAATTAAAGCGAAGTGGAAATGCTTTGTTTTCAAAGAGCAAAATACTTAATCAACCGGAAGGAAAACTTTAAATCGTATTTGAAACGGTTTGATGCTTGAAATGAGAACAAATACGCAAACTACATACATTTAAAGCACATTTATTTCCAAATATATATTTTTACTTCTAAAAGTATCCAAAGGGCGCGCATGCTCTCAAAATAAATTATTTTGAAGCATAATTGAAGGCATGAAATAAAAAAGGATGGAAATGCCATTTTCATACTTTTGAGAAAAATGAGTTTCCACATACGTTAAACCTATTGACACGTACAACTCCGGCCATTTATAATCACCCCGTAACACTATCAAGTAATGCATCTGAACTTTGGTTCTTATTTGTGTTATTGAACTTGACTCATTCGTATTTATTCTGGCAAAAACGTAAAACAACAGAAATGGCACTGCCATTCTTCTTTATTTCCAGTCTTCATTTAGTAAGAATGTATTTTTAAATGTGTGTGCAACCTGTACCCTTCCCTTGCCTCGAAAGTGGAGCGTTGGCGGCGGGATTGTTGCAGCTGTGCCAGGAGCTGGAGAGTCTGGGCGAGCTGGACAACACGTACATCGTGTACACGTCGGACCACGGCTACCACCTGGGCCAGTTCGGGCTCGTCAAGGGCAAGTCCTTCCCCTTCGAGTTCGACGTGCGCGTGCCCTTCCTGGTGCGCGGCCCCGACATCCAGCCGGGCACCGTGTGAGTCACACGCCCACCGCGGCGCCCCTGCGGCACGCCTGCGCTTTGGGACGGTGCGGCCGTGGGTGATGGAGCGTCTGTGTGTGTGTGTGTGTTTGTGTGTGTGTTTTGGAGTGCCTGTGTTGGAGCGTCTATGTGTGTTGGAGCGTCTGTGTGTGTTGGAGCGTCTGTGCGTGTTGGAGCGTGTGTGTGTTGGAGCGTGTGTGTGTTGGAGCGTGTGTGCGTTGGAGCGTGTGTGTGTTGGAGCGTCTGTATGTGGGAGCGTCTGTATGTGGGAGCGTCTGTATGTGGGAGCGTCTGTATGTGGGAGCGCCTGTGTGTTGGAGCGTCTGTGTGTTGAAGCGTCTGTGTGTGTTAGCGTCTGTGTGTTGGAGCGTGTGTGTGTTGGAGCGTCTGTGTATGGGAATGTCTGCATGTTGGAGCGTCTGTAGGCGTGTTTGTGGGTCTGTAGACATGTTTGAGTGTCTATGAGTGTTTACCACGTGCTTGTGTGTCTTTTTATGTTTGTGTAAGAGTATCTGTGTGTGTATTGTGGTGTGAATGTGTATGTGCGAGAGGACATGTGCAGTGGGCCCAGATGTATATTTAATATCAAAACACTGTTAACCGTCCAATGCCCCTTGGTACATACATGTAACAACATTTCTAGTCAACTCATATTTGTACATTTTACACTTATATGCACTCTTTATTTCTTCAGACGGGGATATACTAAATGAAACATATAAGCAAGTTGGTTGTCAACAACTCTTGACATCCGCTGCGGCACACCTGCTCTTTGGGCACATGGATGTTTGTGTGCATGTGTGTTGTGTCTATGAGTGTGTTTGATGGTCTGCATGTGTTTGAGTATGTGTTTGTATGTGTTTTTTCTGTTTGTGTACGGGTATCTGTGTGTGTTTTGGTGTGATTGTGTATGTGCGAGAGGGCGTGTGCAGACCGCCCAGATGTAGTATATTTATTAAACATAAAAATATTACAACTGTGTCACGTACTATGAGAAAGATGTGCAATCTGTGCGTGTTTTCTTGAGCTCCGCAAACCCTACCGTAGTTTTATATTACAATAATTCGAATAATAAACAAAGGTAGCAACGAAGTTTTTTTGGTAAGATATAAGAAGACAAAATTCGCTTCCCCGTAATGAAAACTAGATTGCAGAGGCAAATCAGCTACAGAGTGTGCCTCTTATCCCTTATCGTGCCCCGTCAGAAGAAATTGACTTACTAGCTGTGCGAAAATAGACATTATTTGAATAATAATAATAATAATAATAAGCATAATAATAATAATAATCTTTGCAGCAAGAGATCGATTCCTGGAAACTGAAAGCACTCCACGGTGCATATCCTGCTGCAGTAGCCAATCCAAATGTCGACCAAGAAATGTCGTACAAATGGCTCAGTATAGGATATTTGTACCCTGAGAGCGAAGGTTTCATGATAGCAATACAAGATCAGGTGATTCCCACAAAGAATTACCTAAAATATATCATCAAAGACCCAGGAGTACTAACTGATGAATGTCGCATGTGTGGTCGAGATCATGAAACCATTCAGCATATTATATCAGGCTGTAGCTGTGTAGCTCCCACTGACTATAAACTGAGACACGATCATGTGAGCCACGTCATCCATTCCAAACTAGCTAAAAAGCACAGGCTACATCAGAAAGTGGATGCACCATACTACCAGTATCATCCAGAAGCGGTACTAGAAAATGAGACACATAAGTTATACTGGGACCGCAGTATTCTGACAGACAGGACAGTTCAGCACAACAGACCTGATATTACTCTTTGGGACAAATCTGCAAAGAAAGTTTGGTTTATTGATGTTGCAGTCGTTAATACCAGCAACATGATGACAACATACCAGACTAAAATCGACAAATACAGAGAACTAGTATTTGCCGTAAAAGAACATTGGCGAGTGTCAGAAGTGAAAACCATCCCAATTGTACTATCAGCATCTGGCGTGATACCAAAAACTCTCTGCAGATCGCTGGAAGAACTCTCCTTGGAGAAGAGCATTATCATCGGCCTCCAGAAGTCTGTTATAATCAGCACCTGCTCACTAGTCAGGAGATTTATGGGAGGACATGCTGGGTTTTGAAAGCTCATTCTTGAAATTGTATTTGTTATTAGCATTTGAAAACTATTATTCTATGTTTACAATCTGAAAACAGTTATTTTATGTTTATGTGTTAGAATTCCTTAATTTGTTTTGTAGATTTTAAATATGTATGTGTTACCATGCTCTGATATTGTATCTGTGTGGTATCCATGTGAAACCAAAAACTTTGAGAATAAACAAAATAATAATAATAATAATAATAATAATAATAATAATAATAATAATAACCACTAACACTCCCCATAGCTCAAGAAAAGTGCACAGATATTGAAGCTACTTTTATGTTCATAATCAAAACAAGGGACCATTTCAACTCAATGAATCAAGGGAAATTTGATGATAAACTTGTTCGAGTTCTGTTCTATGAGTGTATGCGTATTCTTGTGTGTTACGGCGAATACAGGTGTCCGGAGAGGACACGTCTAAACGTTCAAAATAATCTCTTTTGACAATTTAAGCATATTTTGTGTATTAAACTACGTGGATATTTGGAATGGCTAAGCACTCAAAAGTTGGTTTGAAAACGTTATTTATATCCATAAATTTGCATTAGAAACACCCAGAAAACATGTAAATTGTTCATTATTTACAAAATAAATAAATAAATATATTTGTGCTTAAAGATAAATTAAGCGAGAAATAAAAATCAGTCGAATTGTATAAATTGTTTTGTTTTTTTAATTTCTAGGGTAATTTCTCTTACTCAACAAATATATTCATTTCTTTTGTAAATAATAATTTATATATTTTTGGAGTGTTTGTTAACTTTTATAGTGCAAAGTTTTGCCTATATTTTTTTTTAATAAGCCGACTTTTGAGTGCTTATTGCGGCTCATCCATTCGGAATACCCACGTAGTTTATTAGACAAAGTATGCTTAAAATAATCTTAAGACCTTATTTTCGAAGTTTCTACGTTCCCTGCCTCCGGCATCTATATATGTTTGTCAGAGCGTGCTTGAATCATTTTGGTAAATGATGGGCATGGAAATGTTTATAGCGGGATAAGGGACATGCAGGAAATGTAGATTAAAATGTGAGGTCGAAAGTACGATGCACGTTGATATGGTGATGTAATTTTTTATAATGTATTGTATTCACAGTTTGCTTTTATATTTCTTCATGAAACATTCTGGTCTCTAGTTCGGTCCCTGTGAAAATTTTGTGCACTTGCGACAAGAAATACAAAAGAACTTAAAATACAGAAGAAGATATTGGCTATCAGGACGCCAGCACTAGTTATTCACATAAAATAAACATTTACTTTTCAAGCAATGTCGAATAAAATATGGACTTACTCAGCCATGACGTTGTGCCAAGTAGATTCTCGTCATGTCAGTTTAAAAAATAAATATTGCGTTGTGCGTCTGGCTCGCACGGTACATGCGAATGAAACGACTTCATTTTCAATTCGTGGAAGTGATTATTTTTCTGAACTTCAGAAACGTCTTTAAAGATGTGAGTACTCAAGACTTTACATTGATAAATAAAAGCCGTGTAACGAGTTGACTGGCGAGGAGAAAGTTACGAACTGTTTTCTATTTTAATGAATGGTCCGCTATAAATCATTGACGCGAAACAGAGTGGTCGTTAAAAGCCTTTGCAAAGGTCCTCTAGTTACATAACTTTTGTTTGTTCTCAAATTGCGGTATGGAAAGAGGGTAGTATGTTTCGGTGTCAATTCTTTTTCGTTGGCGTGTTTAATATTCACCTTACGTATTACATAACCAGTACAGAATCAGATCTAAAGGGGTGTCTTGAAGGACACGCCTCCCGTCCTTGGACCTGGAATTATTCCAATACTTACATTTTTACATTTTAATGAATTAAATGCATTTACATTATTATAATACAACAGTTAAGTAAGGTATGCGATGGTCATATGACCACGTTGAGCGCCTCAAATGTTCCTGCTTGTATATTTCAACATTCGGCCAAATTAACGACATCATGATGAAATTTAACAATTGTGCTTCAAGTTGAAATATGTAGTTCACCAACAAAATCACAAATATTTTTTTGTTGTTTTACAAAAATATTGCAACGTGAAGATAGTGCTCACATGCAGGTTTTATGGCCATTGCCAGATTAACTGGTTTCTTGTAGCATGACTATGGAACTAGGGCTACTATACTAATTCAGTATATAAAATGAATTATAATCTTACCGTGTAATTTTACAAAAATACGGCCTGACATGATTTCAGAAATGAAAGGTATTACTCATAACAAATTCAATATTTACTACAATGAGAATTCGAATATTTGTCTTCTCTATTAAAAGACAGAATTAATCATGTTTTTTAAACCCACTAATGTCTATTTTTATTATAGTTAGTGCAAGAAAATCAATGAAAGTAGTTCTTTCGACATTAGTTTTTGTCTATTGTGTTTTTTTTTGTCCTATGTTGTATCATTTACTTATTTCTCCCTAAAAATGAAATAGTAAATGGTAAATTTTCTTGATGTTCCATAAAAAATAGTTAAAATAATTATCATAGTACATTGTTTAAACATTTTATATTTAAAAAAGAGGATTATTGTAATGAACTCAATAAAGCTGGAGTTCTAAAGTGAAAGATAAAAAAGCATCTGCTAATGAACCTTCGTTATAGACAAATGTCAAATAAGCGGGTGTTTGTTTTAATCTTTGTTTTTTATTAAACGATAACCTTGATGTCCTTTGTTTAAAATTAACACTTCATTGATTTCTTGCATTTATTTTTATGGAACCAAATTCAGTAAAAAATACTCTCCGAAAAGTTTGCATTTTGACCGGGAGAAACGTTTTTCTTGAATTCATCATGTGGCCCAATGTGCATCGTTCTTCATTAAAAATCGGAGCGAGGACGCGCTGACGTCTGAGGAGATCTCCGCAGCACTGAATCGCTCAGCCTGGACTGCTCCAGATGGAGCTTAATGAGCTCTTCTTAATTAACTAATCCATTAAGCCAACGACGGTAATGAGGGCGGTCGCTGCCAAAGGTCGGCGTTGGCTGCTCTAAGCCCCAGAGTTGCCAACGAGTTCGACTCAAATCTCCCTGGTCGTGCGAAGTAAGCTCTCCCGTATGAAGGAAGGATGTATCAATGCACATCACCCAGATTGTCTGATGTTCGCAGTACTGACTTCTAAGAGTGGACGGGGCAGAAAACGGTCCTTTCTGTCCTACATTAGCCTGGATAGGAGATCAAGTGGTGGTAAGGCTTTGCCTTCGATTTTATGGAGGATAGAATGCTGATGAGAAGTAAATGATACTTATGAATGGAATAGTGTTCAGAATTATTATAATTTATTTTTAAATAAATGGATACATATGCTATTATTTTCTTTAATTCTTTTTTAAATAATCTCTCTTTTAAATAATCTTTCTTTCTTTCTTTTTTAAATTGTTTAAAAAATAAAGAAAACAAATTTTGTTTAATTTTAAAGTAGTGTTAATCTGCTTTATATTTTGCTTTCATTTTCTTTGATTCTGATTGAAACCCAGTGCTCTACGGGAGGTGAAATGCCTTTAGGTTAGGGGAAGAGGGTGTTTACGTTGGCAACACTGCGTCACCCCGTCGGTGTTCGGCCAGCCGGATATCCCGACTGAGGTTAACGCTTCGCGCCCTTAGACGCAGCCGCTGCTTCATTTCTGTGCATTTTGGCTAACGGACGTCGCGGTGGAGATTCATGGCGGCGAGGGCAGCCAGATGTTTTTAACTTTTGAGAATCCTTAATTGATGCAGACGCGGAAGGCGTTGGATGAGCACGTTCTGAAATTCGTTAAGAAAAGTTTCTATATCTTCTTCCCCATTCGACATTTTGTGGATTGTCATTTTTGCTTAACTGTACAATTAATCTTCATTTTGTTCTTTTTCTTTTGTTCTCTTTTTGTTGTTTGTTTTCTTTCGTTAATTTTTTTCTCATTTGTCGGATATTTTCTAGAGCAAGAGACATTGGTCGTTTTGAGGATGAGGAATCGGCCCCGTCTAACTAAGACTGGGAGTGGGTACTGGATGGGGACAAAAGGGTCGTGCAGAATCCATGGTCCTTTTTTTAATATCCCTTTGCTTTAACTTCTCTGATCCCGAGGAAGTTATGGGGACTATTGTTCCCCAAGAGCGAATTTTTGGTAATACTTCTAAAATTATTCAAAACACACACTACTGGATCGACCACACATCTGAAGGAGTGTATTTAGTATTACGACTGTACTACATTTTTCAAGTTAACAGATAAAAAGCAGAATATTACGAAACGAATGTGAAATGATGAGAGATACAGAGTGAGAAGCGGTATTATGATACGAGTGAGTATCGTAAACTTCATAAAGGGGATTTGAATACCCATTACATTGACTTTTATACCTTACTAGTTATACAGCTAATAAAAGCTGTTATAAATTCAATTTGTTCATTGAGCGGTTACATGGCCACACTCCTGCAATGTTCAATGTGAAAACGGGGGAGGGCAAGGGCCGTTTACATCACTTCCCTACGGGTTGTCTTGGCACAATAATACACAATCCAACGAGACATTTAATAGAACTATGTTCAACGATTGATAACTTCTCAACTGTGAACTTCTGCAATTGGTGACCCCCTGTGCAATAATGAACTTGTATCAAAATGGCTGTGAACTCTGTGTCATTTGATGGCTGCAACTAGTTGCATAATGATGCTCATCACGATAAAAATTTCATTATGATACAGGTTTTTGACCAATTACATAGGTTTCAAACCAAGTAATGACTTATTACTTATTGAGAATCGAATTAGTTATTGAGAATCGTTCTAGTAAATATTTTATTACATAAAATTGCATTTAATATTACATTATGTATGGCAGTTTTAATTTTTTTATTAGTATTTTTTCGTGAAATGTTATTGAAAAGAAATTGGATCGTCATTTCACTTAACTTCTCTTTGACTAGCGCAGTACTCTCTCGCGGACTGGTAACCAAAGACATCTGCGGCAAAGGTGTTTAGGTTTAGGCAGCTGTCCGCTAGGTAGCCTTGGCTGAATCCTGCATGTCAACTCAATGTAAAAGTTTAACTTATAAAAGTTACCATAACTTGAAGAACAAGTACTGTATGAAACTCTATGTAATGGGTATTAATACTCTCGTGTGAAGTTTACGATACTCACTCGTATCGTAATATCACACTCGTGTATTAGTACCCATCATTATGTACTATTGTTTTGTAACGCGCGGAATTCCTCAAGAATTATATAACGTGAGTTGGAAAACATCGTTTCTAAAATATTTACATAAACGAATTCGAATCAGAACTATTTAAAATAAGTTCTTGACCCTCCTCTATCCAAGGGGGAGTTGTGTTAATGAAGAGTGCAACCTGTGATTGTGAATGCTCGTGTGCCTGTTCCAGGGTGGACGACATCGTGCTGAACCTGGATTTGGCGCCCACCTTCCTGGACATGGCCGGCGTGGAGACGCCCTCGCACATGGACGGCCGCTCCTTCCTGCAGCTGCTGCACCGGTCAGTGCCCCCCTCTCCCGGCTAGGGGTGCGAAGTCGATATCGAAACATCGATGTCCAACATTTAAACATCGGTGTTATAATACATCGACCAAAACTCCCAAATGTCGATGCTCAAAATTAAAGCATCATGTTAATAATACATCGACTAAAAATATCAATGTTCAAAATGGAAACAGATATTAATAACACATCGACCAAATATCATGGATGTTCTCAAATAACGATGTTCAAAATTAAAACATCGATGTTAATAATACATCGACCGAAACACATCGGTTTCCAATTATCGATGCTCAAAGTTAAAACATCGATGTTAATAATACATTGATGTTTTTAAACATCTAACTTCTAAAGTTGTCTTAATAACCTATAGCATTCAATTAATGCGCAACAAAATTAATATAAACTGTGTAAATTAATATTTAAATTACTTTATAATTAAAATTTAACTGAAAATAGAATTTAAAACCGCCTCTGCCTTTGCAAAATACGAGGAAAGACGAAGGAAATACCAGAGCGAGCGTCAGGATCAGCTAGGGTGAGAAATGATCTACTTGAGGGTACTACAAACCGCGTTCGTTCACTTCTAACACATAAACAGGCGTTCAAACATCAGTTCTCGAAACTTTTACAAAAAATGTGATTATAGGAATTTTTCATCCACGAACAAATCACCGAAAACATATAGAACTCTAACATAAGACATCGATGTTAAAAAACATCGGCTTCAATACATCGATGTTTAAGACATCGTTGTTTTTATAGAAATATTTATGTTTTGAAAACATCGGCACTGATGTCGTATCCCTACTCCTGGTCCGCGGTTGAAGGAACAAACAGACAGGATGCGAATGTTCGGGCGACGGCCAGAATCGATGCCAACTAGTCCACGACTGAGCCAAACTCAGACAGTCGAGAGCTATCACATTTAGGGGTCGATTAATACAAGACTGCAATGCACGAATTTGGGCCACATTAACGTCGGGGCCTGCAGTAGCTCTCACGTGGCTTTCACTAGACTAGAGTCGAGCGCCTCGCATTGTAAAAATATTTTAATAGTTTGTTTATAATTGATTACATAGTTTACATTAATTGATTACATGTGTTAAATATTTTAAAATATTTGGTGATCCTCACGTTTTGTTGTGTTTATTGCTCCTGAAAATATTAATTTCATCTTTATCTTATAACACCAGCATGCATGCCAACAAAATCTGTATAATCTTCATACGTAATTTACTAAGGACATGTGTTTGGTTAGGAGTGAAATAAAAGGGATGGGAATATCGTTATAAACGTAATAAATGTGTTTTGTGAAGCCCTCAAAAGCAATATCATTGATGGTGTGAAGAAATTTGTCGGCTATGTTAATTACAGGGAAGTGGAACTCTCATTATTAATTTAGAAATTATCAAATAGATTTGTATTGAACATTAAAATAATTTCTTGATGACATTCTGCGGAAACAAAACAGTACAGCATTGGGTGCTTTACGTTAAACTCGATTTGTTTTGAAGAAAAATGAAAAACATGAAATTGATGTGTGGTGTTGCAGCAACAAACATGGAACCAACGGGAGACGCAACAAACTCAAATGGCCGGACACCTTCCTCATAGAGAGGTAAGTGGAAGTTCAAACGTAAAAATGTAACTGCTAGAGAGTATCATTCTGATTGCAAAACAGAAATCGACACATGGTAGGATATAATCAACATATATTTTCTGTCATGTAGTTCCGATCATTTCTGTAGCCTAATTATAGTATAAAGTGTGATCAAGTGTCCACCTCTTCCCATAATTCCGACCAAGACGACGAATTTTCGAGATAACCTTGTAAGGCATAGCAATAACACAAGAACGTAAGCCATATCAGTGAAGGAAAAGGTAAATTTGTTAAGAACCACAATGGCCGCACCTGGAGAGAGAGGTGGTCGCGGTTTGTAGCGGGATCATCTAGAAATCCGGCGAGGCAAAGACGTCTCAAAATATGCACAAAATCACTATTTGCACACTTTTTAATTTTTTCATTATGTCATTTCTTCAAAAATGCATTTGGAGTAACTGGAGAAATACGTTGTTAGGCAATTTTTTAAATATTTTTCGTATAGATTTGAGGCTATAAATGCATGGTAAAGGTACCTTTATAAAAGCAGTGTTTGTTGCCAGTTTTCAAGCGACAATGTCGTGAGTGATGTGTAAAGACTTGCCAATTAACACTGTCAGTATCATCAGCGATGTTTAAATACTTGCCAGTGTTAACTGAGAGGTTTTTACACATCGCTGACGGCATTGTCGTCGGATAACTGGTAAGAAACAATGCCCTTGTAGAGGCACCTTTCCTTTCGGAATGCTTAGACCATACACATGGCTAAAATGGTATTCTCTGCTTCGGAGCAGCAGTGGGCGCCGCGACGCACCGGAACCAACGGAAATGCGCTTCCGAGAGAGCACCGCGCCAGCCACCACCACAACCACCTCCACGACCACCACCACCACCACAACCACCACCACCCCCGCGCCTTCTACGGAGGACCCGCTCGCCGGCTTCAGCTTTCGCTTTGACGACGACAACGACGAGGAGGAGGCCGAGGAGGACCTGGAGGACGACGAGGAGGAGGAGGAGATGGACGAGGTGGAGGAGGCGTTGGCGGCGGCGGCGGCCGCGACGGGGCGCCGCGCGCGCTCCACCACGACGACAGAGGGCCCTGGCGGCGGCGCCGGCAACAACTCTGCGGACGGCGTGCCGCTCGGGGACGGGCGCGCGCCGCTCCGCCTGCCCGTGCTCGCGCGTACGTCTCTCTCCAGAAACGCAAAAGATTTTCATAAAGCGACACCTGAGAGTGCTTATATGTTCTTTGGCTAAAAACGATTGTTATGGCTTCAAAATAGTCTTTAGTAGGGGGGCGAATTTTGATGACCATGTAACATCGCCAAAAATCGTTATTAAAATACTCTTGAAATACCTTAAATCAAAGAAAAATGTCATAAAAATCAATTCAAACTAGTTAAGATGAAAAATTCAGGTATGTTGCTGATGTAATTAAGGCTTCTTCCTTTCGTTCAATTGAACTTCGCTTCCAAACTTTCGGTTTGGATCTTTCTTTACCGGGAAATCAGTCTTTAATTTTATTGGCATCGGCCGAACCGACAATGGCGCCGACGGTCTCCACAGGAACTCTAGATTACTCACAACGGCTAATATTACAATTTCTGAGAAAAGAAATCGAATAGGCTACTAAGTAATTCTATGGACAACATTTGTTGCATCTCGTAAATATTATTTCTAGCAAGTACCAATAAAATCATATTAAAAACGATAAAATCAAGTAAAAATGATTTAAAATGACGAAGAAGTTAAAAAAATGAGTTATTTAAAGATATCGTCGAAAAACGCGAAAATATGCCGTATAAAATTGGGTAATTTGCTTTTGTCATAGCATGAAATTAATGGCTATATTAAAATACATTGTTCTCAAATGAAAAGAAAAAATGACATTTCATTCAAATCAGCCTTCTAGTGATTACTATTTTGGGAGAGCAGTAAAGATGAAATTTGCAATGTTGATTGCCTTTTCCAATGATTCTGACTCCTGAAATAGAACAATTATGTTGTCAGCACATGTACGTTTTATGACCTGCTCGCAAATACTGAGTACATCAAGCACTATAATATGTTATCTGTTTGTCATTATATTTACATATTTTTACCAAAATCCCGCCCGACTCTCGCCAGATTTGGGGGTGGCGGTAATGCAGTGTAAGAATGTCACTGTACGTCGGCAACGCGGCTGTGTTGCAGGGCCTGAGCTGCACGTGGACAACCGCGTGCTGCCGGAGCTGGGCGGCGCGGGGGCGGGCGCGGGCGCGGGG